AACTACCAGCTCTACTATATACCACAACTACCAGCTCCACCACTACTACTACAACTACCAGCTCTACTGCTGCAACTACCAGCCTACCACTACTACTGCTACCACAACTACCAGCTCTACCACTACTTCTACCACAACTACCAGCTCTACCACTACTTCTACCACAACTTTCAGCTCTACACTACTTCTACCCACAACTACCAGCTCTACCACTACACTAAACTACCAGCTGCCCTACTACTACTGCTACCACAACTACCAGCTCTACCACTACTTCTACTGCTTTCCAGCTCTACCACTACTTCTACCACAACACCAGCTCTACCACTACTACTGCTATACCAGCCATGCCACTACTACTGCTACAACTACCAGCTCTACCACTACTACTACAACCTACCAACCTTACCACTACTACTGCTACCACAATACCAGCTTTACTACTACTAAAACTACCAGCCGTACCACCACTACCACTACAAAACATACAGTACTACCAATATTACCACAACTACCAGCTCTACCACTACTTCTACCACAACTACCACTACCACAACCGGACGAGGCATTACTCACGGACTGTTACGGTGCGAGGGTTGTGGTGGTGGACGCGGTGGTGGAGGGCGGCGAGGCGGGAGGTGAGGGAGGCGGCGCGGTAGTTGATCTTGACCAGTTCCTCCTCCAGGCCTCGTGACATGCCCTGGGCTGCCACCACCAGTGAAGCCAGCTGGTGGAGGGCCCCACAGGGGTCACGTTGGTCACCGCTGTCAGGTCATACTCGCCCTCTAAGGTCACCTCTGGGGAGCCCCAGGTGGAGGGACGCCGCGCCAGCCTCACCGGTGATATTTGTCGCTTCACCAACGGCATGTTGTGCCTGGTGGTAGTTATCCTGCATTTCATTATTGGGTATCAAATTAACCCCTCACACATTCATATCAGCACACACGTGACATTCACCGCTGCACAAGGACGCGCGACCCACACAACATCTCACAACGCCATTCTGGCCGCAACTGATGTGAGTCCTCAGTTCAGGGCCCTACACGCAACACCTGGCCCACTCAGCGAGCCTACCACACCACCTACCTTAATAGTTCGCCTAAGAATTTGTGTGGATTCCGTCCCATGTTGGAATCAGGTATCATGACCGTGCTGATAGACTGGCCAATGAGGCATGTAAGAAAGAAAATGTTGACCGTGACCTTGGTCTGTCCAATGCTGTAATTAAAAACATTCAAGTCAGAATCATGAACTCTGATCTAGAAGAAGTGAGAAATGCGAAGACCTGACAGTTGTAGCATTAGTAAATATGACAAATTTTGTGACAAGATGTACCGGTATGGCCAGCATAAGGACAGAACAGACAATGTGATGTAGTCATGGCCAGACTAGGCTAGGATACAGACACATTGGCAAGTTAGTAACGCTGTACCCATACCGGAACACTCAGCATGTAAACTTTGTGATAAACCTTTAAGCATACACTTGAACACTTCATTGAATCAGGTGTGCTGAGGACATTCTTGCTGTTTATCCCAAATTGCTAGCCCACACTGATTAGTCTTCAATTAGAATATGACTCCAATGTATGTGATCCACTGACCTATATATACTGCTGGTGAATGTGATGTATTTCCTTGTTTGTGTACGAACCTCTGTCCTGTGGCAGTGAAGAGTGACATTACACATGAATCTGACCGACGTATATGTATGTATGTATGTGTGCATGTGTGTATATATATGTACATGTATATGTGTATGTATATATGTATGTGTATGTGTGTATATGTGTGCATATATGTATATGTACTGTCAATGAATATGATGTATTTCTTTGTGTGTGAACCTCTGTCCTGCGTGACAGTGAGTGATACCACCCTCAGTGTCAAGACCTGACTGAATTACTCAGAATAGGCAAACTGTACTACAAGCTCTGCCAATAAATTTGTTAAACTTAAAAAAGCCTATAAACTTGTTTGTCTCTGAATTATATATCTTCATCTTTACAATAACAATATTTACTAAAACCCATTAACTTACACAATGGTGTCAGTCAGTAACTTAATCTTTTGTATTATAATAATAATAATAATAATAAAAAGATCAATAACAAATGTTAAATTCAAGTGTAAATTATAGTATTTTTTATTTATTGTTAATAAACTTGGACCACCACAACAAACTGGTAATGTTAATAAAATACCACGAACACTTATTTATGTTTAATTGACAGGCGACATACAACAACAAACTACCCGAAGATCATTACCACAAACTACCCAAAGATCATTACCACAAACTACCGAAGATCATTACCACAGTACTACCCTCTCTAATGTTACCCACTTTTGGTATCTCGGCTCCCACCTGTCCACCACTGTGGACATCGTTGAATTCAACATCGGATCAGATGTATCTAAGGGAATGGGACAACTGGCCGCGGCCATCTGGCAGCAACCCAACTGGCCGCCGCGGACCGGGGTAAACTGCAAACGCCTATTTTTGCGCTCTCAAAGGTTAGGTTAGGTTAGGTTAGGTTGTCAACAAAAGTTCCATATGGCGGCCAGCCGTGCGGCAAGTTTCCCGCGGCCAGTTGGGCTGCGGCCAGATGGCGACGGCAATTGTCCAAGACCCTGTATCTAAAGCCTCTGGCAGAATACGAGACCATGTCTTCAGCTGTAGGGACTGAAGTTATCTACAAAGTTACACGTATATCGGCAGTGGTCCTCCCACCCTGCTGTATGGCAGCGAGACATGGGTCACATACAGGAGGCACCTCAAAGACTTGAAAACTTTCATCAACGTAGTCTCGTTCCATCCTCGAGAGAACAAATGCCAGTATTCTTGCTGACACCAACTGTAGGAGCATGAGGCTACCACTATCCACGAACAACTACGCTGGACTGGCCATGTTACCCGCATGGACGACAGTAGACTGCCAAAGCAGCTACTTTAGTCACCTAACGAATAGTAAACGTAACGCTGGCGGGCAACTGAAGAGGTATAAGGATAGTCTTAAGACAAACCTGAAAAGTGCCAAATCGACCCCTCACCTGGAGACGATTACTCCACACCTACGGTGTGGAGGATCACCACAAGAAGGTGTCAATACTTTCGATTTAGACTGACTGCATAACGAGGCAGACAAGAGCCAACGCCAGAAAGATGCTGCCACCGACCCTCCCACACTAGGTGTAGCCCTCCACACGTGCAACATCTGTGATCGACTCTGCCGGTCCTATCGGCCTCTCTAGTCACCTCAGAGCTCACCCTAGGTGACATCCTTAATAACTCATATCATTGTATCACAGCTGGATGATCGTCATACTCGATTCAGAGTGACAGCAAAGTAGTAGTAGTAGTGTGTGTGTGTGTGTGTGTGTGTGTGTGTATACCTGCACTGTACACTGTGTAATTGTATACTCCACACTGTGTATACCTGTACTGTATACCTACACTGTGTATACCTGTACTGTATACCTCCACACTGTGTATACCTGTACTGTATACCTACACTGTGCAATTGGTGACTGTATACCCACACTGTGCATACCTGTATATATACCTACACTGTGTATACCTGTACTGTATACCACACTGTGTATACCTGTACTGTATACCACACTGTGATACCTGCACTGTATATCACACTGTGTATACCTGTACTGTATACCTACACTGTGTATACCTGTACCGTATACCTACACTGTGTATACCTGTACCGTATACCTACACTGTGTATACCTGTACCGTATACCTACACTGTGTATACCTGTACTGTATACCTACACTGTGTATACCTGTACCGTATACCTACACTGTGTATACCTGTACCGTATACCTACACTGTGTATACCTGTACTGTATACCTACACTGTGTATACCTGTACTGTCTACCTACACTGTGTATACCTGTACTGTATACCTACACTGTGTATACCTGTACTGTATACCTACACTGTGTATACCTGTACTGTATACCTACACTGTGTATACCTGTACCGTATACCTACACTGTGTATACCTGTACTGTCTACCTACACTGTGTATACCTGTACTGTATACCTACACTGTGTATACCTGTACTGTATACCTACACTGGCCAATACCTGTACTGTATACCTACACTGTGTATACTGTACTGTATACCTACACTGTGTATACCTGTACTGTATACTACCTACACTGTGTATACCTGTACTGTATACCACTGTGTATACCTGTACTGTATACCTACACTGTGTATACCTGTACTGTATACCTACACTGTGTATACCTGTACTGTATACCTACACTGTGTATACCTGTACAGTATACCTACACTGTGTATACCTGTACTGTATACCTACACTGTGTATACCTGTACTGTATACCTACACTGTGTATACCTGTACTGTCTACCTACACTGTGTATACCTGTACTGTATACCTACACTGTGTATACCTGTACCGTATACCTACACTGTATAAGTCAACAAAGAATGTACAGAAAAACAAAGCGAAATAAAACACATCATAATTTAGAGTTTTTTTATCTTAACTTTGTACATAATATTTACAGGATTAACACCTTTATTGTATATATCCAAGTGTTAAGGGGAGGAGGTCTGGTCAGGTCAGGTCAGGTTGAACTGACCGCCTCCCCATTAAACTTTACACAATACAGTATAATTAAATAATCTTAAATTACCTTTGACTTTTCCAGTGTTAAACATGATGAGAAAACAAGTTGTACTGACAGCAGTTATTATATCTAACAGAGAGAGAGAGAGAGAGAGAGTACAGGGTAGAGAGAATGAGCAAAGAAACAGGTTAGGTCGGGTCGGGTCGGTCGGGTCGGTCGGTCGGTCGGTCGGTCGGGTCGGGTCGGGTCGGGGGTCCGGGTCGGGTCTGGGAGGGGTTGGCTGGGGTTGGCTGGGGTTGGCTGGGGTTGGCTGGGGTTGGCTGGGGTTGGCTGGGGTTGGCTGGGGTTGGCTGGGGTTGGCTGGGGTTGGGGGTTGGCTGGGGTTGGCTGGGGTTGGCTGGGGTTGGGTTGGGTTGGGTTGGGTTGCTCTGCTCATCAGTATATGTGGCATCAATTATTGTTGGTGTTTTCTGTGTACTTGTCATGGTGTTGAAGCATCACCAAGTTGCTGCTCATTGTCCTCTTCTCAACACTTAGTTCTGGCAGTCTTTTGTTAATTGATGAAAAATTCTTAAACTGCCCTAAAAAAAACTCCAATAATGAAGTAAAATAATTACAATACCTACATCTAAAAGTGACTAAAGATTTGAATTATTGTTGGTGTTACAATAAGGAAGGAGTTGGTTAGTCAGAGCTCCTGGTCCAGCGCCACCAGGTCACCACCATCCTGTCCCATACGTTCTCAAGGGAGTCCATTGCCGGCCGCACGTCCAGGATGGCAAATTTGTAGTCATTGGGGTCCACCGCTCCTCCATCATAGTAGTCAATAATGTAACGGACTTCCTTGCCGCAACGATCAACAATCCAGTCGTGTCGGTCAAATGGCAGCTCATACCTGTGTGAGAACAGAAGACAGTCCTTTACTGACTCTAGGATAACACTGTACTACAACCATCACAGTTGTTGAGAGCCACCAGAGACATACAGTACAGTACACTCCTCCACCCATGAATGAGATACTCTACGTTACTGAGACTAGTTTGAGAGTCTACCATTACTCTTACAGATGACAAACATGTAAAAATTAAAGGTATAACTATACCCCAATAATAAAGACAGCATCTTACAAACCTTGAACAGTTTTAATGTATAAATACTCAACTCAACCAATGGACAGGTTTGGCTGAATCTCTGAAAGTTTACAAGTCGAATGTTGGTAAGTGTAGCAGCAGGTGTACAGTATAATAGATGAATTAACTTATTCACAAAATATTATTAATGATCCTTTATTCAAGATCCAAGTATCTGTGAGGCTGCTAGAAATTTTTTGACCAACTACTGCCCAGAAGCACATCTCCCGCACACACACACTGTCAGTGGCGGACTGGGTCAAAAATTTCTACTGGGAAAACTTGTAAAGGGGCCCACTCAAAAGGGTCCAAAAGGGCCCACTTAATCCCAAAATGTAGTCAAAGGAATCAAATAAAAGTAAAGGTTTTAAGCAAATAAAATGTTACATCTATTCAATATGAAACTGACACCAAAATAAAGAGAAATAATTAACCTTTAAACCAATATATAATGTTCATACTTTATTTATTGATGAATTGCTTAAAAAAATAAAAAAACGGAAGAAATTGGATTAAAACGGGCAGATCTGACCATTCTAGATCTAGATCCAAATCTGTATATGAATCCACATCTTCTGCAGTCCCCACTTCACTAATATCACTGAAGAACACTTCCACACGCTGTAACTCTACATCTGATTCATTTTCATCGTCAAAATTGAAATTATCAAAAAGCGATCGGAGAAATTGAAATTTGCTACTTGATTGAAATTCACGTTGGAACACAGCTTTTGTTCACATTAAGATAGACTGTAAACGAAAGTGGATATAAACATCCGGTTTTCGGTAAAAATAAACCGGAAATCTCGCCGAGAAGGTCGTTTCAGCCGGAAATCTTGTTCGGCGAGATTTGAATCACTAAGCGATCGTAAACACGTGGCTTAGTTTCAGGTCGCATTGGTACGGACCGTGTACAGTAATGTCGCATTAGGACGGATTGAGTTAATATCTCATAAACCTCATATTGTAGTGATGGGTTGTCAGATCACAGCTTACATCTCAGAAACAGTCCAGACCTGACCTTACATTAGCGAGGTCAAATGTAAAGGGACCCTTCACCGTCTCCCATTATATAGAACGTCGTAGCCCTCCCTCACGAGGAGTCGAGGGGGCGAGTCACAGTCGAGAGAGTCAGACAGAGAGAGCCGGAGGCAAGCCCTCCTCCGGTCGGGAGCGAGAGTTTCCTTCCTGACACCGGTGTCAACAGCTAAGCAGTCGCCCAGAGACAGCCCAGGACCACCTGCTGGGCCTTCCTCAGGTCACGTGAGTTTTTGTCAAAGCTTTCCATAGGATGAGTTACTTACGTGGGAAGTGTATTCATTTCATGTTGTGTCCGAGAATCAGTGTCTAGTAACGTAATATAATGTCCTAGTAACGTAATATAATGTCCTAGTAACTTCAATAGAAGGTGTTATTAATGTGTCCATGCCATTGTCGTCATTAATAAATAGTCGTAACTAAGCGGTGTTTGAGAAGTCGTCCTTAAGAACGTAATAGATGTGTACTGACGGATAAGATCAGTGTATTGACCAGAGTAAATAACCAACACGGCCACGTTACCAAAGTCTTCCTCTCTTTACTACTATCAATATTCTACCTATATGTAATCTTCTTCTTGTGAGTTATGACTCATCATAATATCTCTTTTTTCCGTTGGTCCCAAAGTGATGGACCATCAATTTGGGACCAACCGGGAAATTTCCCGGTATCCTGGTGGGCCAGTCCGCCACTGCACACTGAAGTTGGTCAGTTATTTCATGTGTGCCTCACCGTCCTCCCTCTCTCACTCCACCCAGTACATGGAAGCAGGTGCTGTAGCTCCCCAATAAGTAGCTATATATTGTACCACAGAGCAACACAATCAATATTCATCACTTTCTAGTAAAATTTGATTCTGGGTTCCGCTGTAGTGGCCCAGTAACACCAACAACCTCCCCAATTAATGTCAGGCCAGCCACTGTATGCAGAACATCTCCACTACTATGGTAAACACAATGTACAGTACAATTCCTGTTACCTTTATTCCAACTACTGTATCTGAATCTTCCAGGTATCTGAATTTTGTCCCCTTTGGTCCTGTTCAGTAAAAATTCTAATTTAGTCCAACAATCATAACTCAACTGATCTCATGCAAGCCATCAGAAGCACTATATTTTATGTACAAAAATAGTTCCTTCTACACTCAAACCACAATCTAAGTGATGCCACAGTTAAGCCAGGCAGTTAAGAGTCAACCAGCTGACTGAGGTGTGTGTGTGTGTAAACATTCACCAACGTAGTCTACCTTCCATCCTCCGAGTTCGCTGGGAAGACAAGAGAACAAATGCCAGTACAGTCAGTTCCCGAATTACGACGGGGTTAGGGACCCAAATCCAGGTCGTAGGTCGAATTGGTCTCAAGTTGAAAATGCGAAAATAATACATAGAAAATCTAAAATGGGCGTCTCTTTTTCTTCTCAGCACCACGAGAACTCTCACTTTTACGCTTGCTAGCCATTTTAAAGGGAATTACAAACGAAAATTTTGTCAGTACATAGTGCAATCACTAACGTCGGGACAAGCAAATACGTAATTTGACAAAATTTTGGTACGACTGGGGTGGTCGTATGTCTGGGTGGTCGTATGTCGAGTAGGTAGTAAGTCGAGGACTACCTGTATTCTCGGTGACACCAACTGTAGGAGCATCGAGGCTACCATTATCCATGAACAACTACACTGGACTGACCATGTTACCCACATGGACGACAGAAGACCACCAAAGCAGCTACTTTACAGTCACCTAACGAATAGTAAACGTAACGCTGGCGGACAACTGAAGAGGTATAAGGATAGTCTTAAGACAAACCTGAAAAAGTGCAAAATCGACCCCCTCACCTGGGAGACGATTACTCCACACCGTAACACTTGGAGGATCACCACACAAGAAGGTGTCAATACTTTTGAGTTAGCCCGACTGCAAACTGAGGCAGATAAGCGCCAAAATCGGAAAGACACTGCCGCCGTCCCTCCCGCACTAGGTGTAGCCCTCCACACGTGCAACATCTGTGATCGACTCTGCCGGTCCTGTATCGGCCTCTTTAGTCACCTCAGACCTCACCAACCTTGGTGACATCCTTAATAACTCATATCATTGTATCATAGCTGGATGATCGTCATACTCGATTCAGAGTGACAGCAAAGTAGTAGTAGTAGTAGTGTGTGTGTACAGTTTAAAAGTATACAGGTACTGTACAGTAGTGTACAATACTATACTATACTGTACAGTAGTGTACAGGTACTGTACTGTACAGTACTATACTATACTGTACAGTAAAAGTGTATAGTACTGTACTGTACAGTACAGTAGTGTACCTGTGCACTACTGTACAGTACAGTACTGTACTGTACAGGTACTATACTGCACAGTAAGGTAGTGTAAAGTACTGTACTGTACAGGTACTATACTGCACAGTAAGGTAGTGTACAGGTACTATACTGTACAGGTACTATACTGCACAGTAAGGTAGTGTACAGGTACTATACTGTACAGGTACTATACTGCACAGTAAGGTAGTGTACAGGTACTATACTGTACAGGTACTATACTGCACAGTAAGGTAGTGTACAGGTACTATACCAGTGGTTCTCAACCTGGGGGCCATGGCCCCCAAGGGAGCCACGGCAAGAATTTAGGGGAGCCACGGCGAGCTGTAATAAATTGTACGTTTCCAAATAATGTTGGGAATCTGAATTAAACAAAACTTGTATTACTTATTTTGACTTGGCAGAAGAGAATTTTAATTCATTTTCTGTCATTTTGTTTAATCATAACGACAATACAATTTTAATATTTACATACTCTGGTGCTAATTTTTTTTTTTTTATGGATTACTTAAGATTTCACAGGTCCGGTTCCTGTCTGTGTGACAGGCACTGGACCGAGCTGCTGAACCGACTTGTTCAGTACGTGTCCGTGTGTCATCCCTTTGCAAGTGGTGATAGGACTGAATGATCTCAAGCATAATATACTCCGTAATTGGTGTTACTTATTTTGTTTCATAATTCATGTGGTCGCTGCTTTACGTGGGTGAAATATTTATACACTTCCTTTATTAATTATTTTCTTATTTATTGGTGCCATTGTTGTTCATACTCATTCTTTACTTATATAATCCTACCATTTTTTAGTGCTAAATTGGTATGACTCATTATTCTTCTCATTCTTCCTAGTTGGGCAGTGCTTGTCAAAGGAGGCGTGTTCTTGCTTACAGGAAGTACACTTCAGCTTGCTAGCTTGAGTGTGAATGTTTACCTGTGTGCATGTTTGTGTATGACTGTATGTGTGCTTTATGTGTGAGTGCTTGGGCGTGTTATGTATGTGAATGTGTGTGTGTGTTTGCATTCTAACATGTTTGTGTATGACTGTATGTGTGCTTTATGTGTGAGTGCTTGGGCGTGTTATGTATGTGAATGTGTGTGTGTGTTTGCATTCTAACTCTTGTCCTTCTTTATCATTCTTTAGTCTTTATCACTTGTCTGTTTGTCTGTTCTGGGAGAAAAATGAAGGAGGCCACGAGGAAGTTGAAAATTCCTCAAGGGGGGAATGGAGTGAAAAAGGTTGAGAGCCACTGCCTTATACTGCACAGGTACAGTACCTACACTTTATCATGACTTACATGTTAACAAGAGCATAACGGGATCATTATTGAACAAGTGAATTATGGCCACCAATGGTTAGGTTAGGTTAGTGGTGTAATCCTCAGGTGATCTACACAAATATTAATTAACACAGCTCACCCCATCCAGCTCCTCATGCGGGCCCGAGGAGAGAACTCCGTCGCCTTCCCACCAAATTTCTTCAGTCTGGGGTTGCCACACTCCTTCTTGTGGAGGGATTCCCACTTCAGCACCTGATGGAGAATGAATAAAATATAAATAATGAAGGTGGAGGTTCTTCTTAATAATAAATATATACAGTGATCCCTCGGTTAACGAATGCCTCGATTAACGAAATTTCGGTTAACGAATTACCTTCCATAAGAATCAATTCGGTTAACGAAAAAAAATTTGATTAACGAAATCCTTACGAAAATCACGTTTTGTTGTGAGCATCAGCTGATCAACTGATGGGCTAGTCTGCCAATTCAGTAATCTGTTCTATGTTTACATTCGTTTCCAGTGGAGTAAATATCAATAAAGTTAAGCTCTTTAATATTTTTGCATGTTTTATATTAAAATTATTAGTCATTTTAACATTTATTTAACATATTGATAATATATGCAGTACAGGGAACTAGTTTGTTGTGCGCCCATCAGATCCGTGAATCGGTCACAAGGCGTCAGTTGAGACTTTGAAACAGTGGAGTGAACATCAATTTTGTTGGTGTCTTGAATATTTTTGCATTTTTCATTGAAATTATTGGTCATTCTGAACTTTAGTTAACATATTGATAATATATAGCGCAGTGCAGTGTTGATTTAAATAAAATAATCTTGAATTACACCTAGTGAACTAAAATTTTATTGGTGAAATGACGGCATCAAGCATGGGTCCCCTGAAAGGTGATTCCTCTTCCATCCCCACTTCCTTCTCTTCTCCCTTCTCCTCCACCCCCACTTCTAATTCCCATCATCATCATCATCAACCAGGAGCCTTCTACATGCACACCTCAAAGTAAGTGTACTATACTGCATTTAGTTTTTACTTTGTATGTACTTTTTTGTGAGCTGGAACCAATTACCCAATATTCCATTGAAATAATGGATTCGGTTAACGAACGACTCTGTGGAACGAATTGTGTTCGTTAAACGAGGGACCACTGTATAATGAAGGTGGAGGCGGTTCTTAATAATAAATATAAATACTGAAGGTGGAGGTTCTCTTAACCTGTAGAAGGCAAGGTATCCCTTAAGCATTTTATTCAGGGTAACAACAGATGATTTTATTCAGCTGAGGGGAACTCCTGCCCGCTAACGGTTTATTATTATTATTATAATTTTTACGGGTAATAGCCCACCCTGGCACAGGTCATTGACCCACAGCGGGGCCTGGAGGGGGGAGGGGGGGGGGAAATAAGAGTAAAAAATATTAAAAATAGAAAATAAAGATTAATCTACACCACGAAGATGCCGGAAAACCAGCTTTTTGAAGTGAGACAGATTGTATGAGTATGGAAACACAGAAGAAGGCAGAGCAGTCCACAGTTTGGCTGTGTAAGGGAAGAAGGATGTACTATAACGGGTTATAATAGTGTGACCGACATCCACAGGGATATGGTGGGCACCGCGGGAAAGACGAGTGTTAGGTGCTCACGGCCTTGCCGGCGGTACACAGGATGCCAAATCCACCGAACATTGCCCGTTAAAGTACCTGTAAAAGAGAGAGAGTGAAGCAACATTGTGGTGAAGAGAAAGGGAAGAAAGATTGTCAACTAAAGGAGGAGAGTTAATAAGATGAAATGCCTTTGATTCCACCCTATCTAACAGTTGAAGAGCCACCCCAGATATGAGAGCAGTACTCCAAGTTAGGACGAATGAATCCCTTATATACTTGAAGCAACTGCTCAGGAGTGAAGTAGCTACAGCATCTGTAAAGCATTCCCAGCTTTTGGGAGACAGCTTTAGCAATGTTGTGGATGTGTGGCTTCCATGAAATGATTACGTCCTGAAATGTAATTGGTGGGAGATCATCTAATTTGGAAAGTGTAATTGGTAAATACCGAGTTTTATTACTATTGAATTTAACCAAGTTTCTACCTCCCCATTCAGAGATGCTGCACAGATCAGCATTGATAGATGAAATGATATCAGCTCTAGAAACAGATCTAGTTTGAGAGTTAGGAGGAAGGAAAAAATGTGAAAAAGAGTGAAGAGTAGAATCATCAGTGTAAGAATGGATAGAATTAGTTGTAGTGAGAAGTAAATTATTGATAAAAAGAAGGAAGAGAGTTGGTGAAAGAACAGAACCCTGTGGGACACCACTATTGGTAGAGAAAGAGCAAGAGATCGATCCTTCGACAACAACTGCCATGGATCGGTTCTCAAGGAAGCTAGAAATTAGAGAACAAAATGGGGGAGAGAAACCATAAGAGGGAAGTTTAGAAAGCAAAGACTTGTGCCATACCCTGTTAAATGCTTTAGAGATGTCGAGGGCCATTTGGTACAACAAACACAATATGTCTTTGTATACTGTACAAGGAGAACCTGACCTATCCTCACTTACCCTTTGTAATATAGTTATGCTACACTTGAACCCATGTCTTCTGCCTTGTTATGTGTGTGTACATATGTTATGTCTCTTATCATTGGGCTTTGTTTTGTTTGGGGTTATATTAGTAATTTTCATTGTTCCTTTACTTACTAGAATAGTCTTTTGTTCTCTTCCAGATGCCATACTGCCCTTGGCCAGTTATATGAACAATAAAGCCTAGAAAAAGGTCGACTCTAGTCTTCACACCTTTACTGAACATAACCTAACCCCTTCACTACAGGTCACCGGCAGTCAGTATATATAAGTACTCACAATAAACGAGAGAGAAATAATGTGATATAAACAAAAGAAGAACGACGTTACCTCCTGCCAAGCTAATTCATTGTTGACGTTATGGATGCGGATGATGTTGTCCATATCGCGCTGGGAGAGGTCGTCGTCCTTCCACCGCCAACCCTTCCTCAGCATGGCGTTCCAGAACATTTGTGGGGACGGATACACCCAGTTCTCTTCCTCCGAGTCAGCTTTAGGAATTGACGAAACCTGTAATATAATGTTTACATTAGACACAAGTACAGTAATACCTGGTCGCTGATAAGGTGTGCCAACGGGAAGCTGCGTCATATGATGCTGAATTCAGGCATTAAGTAGCCGGCTCTCTGGCCACCTAAAGCGGGCAGTAGTATGATATCCTTGACTAGAGGAAGACGTTATTTGAGAGCCCTCATGTCATTATTTACCGTATATACCTGTGTGTAGTTCGAGTTTTTAAGACCAAATTTTTTGGGAAAAAATTGGAGGTCGACCTCTAAACGGGTAATAGTTTCGTTAGGTTGAAAAATATTTACCAGTAACTACCAGTAAACAATGGAAACGACGCACCACCAGCTGTGAGTGTCAGTACAGTTGCCAGGGCAGATCTCTTGCGTCATCATAGCAAGCCCAAAGTAGCCAAATGCATGGTATGGTAGCACAGGACGATGTAAAACATAAAGTACATCAATTTCAATTTTTGTTCATTACATTTGAAACAAAAGAAAACTACGATACCGTATTTCTAAATACTGGGTATTTTCATTAAAATATTACATCACAAGTATATTTTACCTGAACTGTGACTGAATGAATATATTCTCAGAAATAAATATGGAAATGTAATATTTTTGCTGAAATGACGTACGTATTACAGTGGAAAGTGGGATAAAATCATGACGAAAACAATGACTTTCGCTTTCTTTCGTTGTTCAAAAGATTTTACCGTAATCGCTTTTCAAATGGTTTTCAGTTAAAAAACTGTTGTACAATAATATTCTATCCTAATTCACTTGAATAAATACTACGATACCATATTTCTGAATATTTTCATTAAAATCCATCAAAATCATTTTCCTTGTCATCGTCTTCAGCACCAAACAGCTCCTCCCAGTCCTCTCCTTGAACAGGGCTGGAGGGTACGTGTTTTTCGAATCGTTTTCAGTTAAAAAACTGTTACATCACACGTATATTTTACCTAAACTGCGCCTGAATGAATATATTCTCAGAAATAAATACAGTAGTAGTTTTGCTGAAACGTGTTGTATTTCAATGTAAAATAGGATAAAATACATGACGAAAACAAAAGACTTTACCTAACCTTCCGATGTTCAAGAGATGTTGCTCATTTTTTAAATAGTTTTTGGTTAAAATACTGTTATATTAGTGATATTCTATTCATACTGTGCTTGATATGATACATTCACGGAAATGTAATATTTTTGCAACTACAATGCTGATGTCAACACAAGCGTGGTTACAGCGAGACTGACTGACTGAGGGAGCGGGGGGGGGGGAGCGTGTGCAGTATTTGCAAATCCGTGTAAGTTAAACCCGCGTATGTTAAGGGCCGGCTGTATAGACACTCCACCACAGCCCAGAACAAGTGCTTACTTCAACCTTGCCACCTAAGAGTTCCACAACTAAGTCAAAACAATTGTGTGTGATAAAAAAAGCCACAATACAGTACATTACTTTTTTTATAATGTATCAGTACTGTAATGATTAATTAAATAACAATGGTAAATTTGGCAATGGCTCCACCTACTCTCCTCCCAGTACAGTCTGGCTGAAAAAAATTGCCTTATTATTGGACTTGTCTTGTAATTTTGATGTCATATTAATAATTGTCCCTCCCCCCCTACCTCCCTGCCAGCACCTTCCCTCCCCCCTGCCTCCTTGCCAGCACCTTGCATCCTCCCAGCCTCCCAGCAACCCCTTCCCTCCCCCCTGCCTCCCTGCCAGCACCGTGCCTCCCCCCTCCCTGCCTCACAGACTGTATGTGGTGTTGAGGTATTAATGCCTCACCCGGGCACAGGTAATCGACCCACAACAGGCCGAGGGCGGTGTTCCTGAGTCTACTGTTCATTGGTGCTTTACTTGATAAGAAAATAAACTTATTAAGTCAAGTTTAGTCACTTTTATTGGCCTCCAGAACCTAACCCTATTTTCCCCATTGATTACATGTAATTATATATCACGATTTAGTATATAGCGAACATCCTTGGGCCCTATCTGGCGTCCTACTGCAATATATTAATAAGTGTAGTCAACATTAGACAACAACTGACCTGTCTCTCAGTAGGCAGTTTAAATGGTTGGTCTGGTGCAGGCTGCTGGTTAGGGAAGTGTAGTCAACATTAGACAACAACTGACCTGTCTCTCAGTAGGCAGTTTAAATGGTTGGTCTGGTGCAGGCTGCTGGTTAGGGAAGGCCTCCATGTTGAGTGGGTTGATCTCCACCAACTTGCCCGCCAGGTCCTTACTACAGTGTAACCCAGCCTGGTGTGCCGGACCCTTCTCCTCCCCTGCACTCATGGGGCACTCCGATGGGAAAGTCTGCAGCGGATAAAGAACTACGTATTAATTAATGACTCCCTGGGATGGGAACACTGAGAGCTATGATTTGGTCGCCCAACTTGGAATTACTTGAGTTACCCAGTCCCCTAGGGGGTGTGATATGAACCCATACAGAACATGAGAGCTAACACACAGGAACCAGCCCAGGGAAGGACCACTAACTGCTGCATCTTGTTCACACCCAACAGGAAGTATCCACAGGTACTCCTCGGCCAGTCTACAACAGTGTTTCTTCTGTGTAAGAGAGGTTGCCAGGAATAACACCGGAGGACTGGAGTAAATAATGACTGATCTATGTATCTGGTTTTTGGAAATATTACAAACAACAACAGATTATTTGGGGTAAATAAATGAATGTGTATTACATTTTATAATATCCACCATAATGTTTTAGGAAATAATGTTATTCCTTAAGCTAGCATTTGGAGTTGAGCAGTACAGCTATGATTCTGGTTTATCTATTATCATACAGATTATTGAGCAAACATCCTGTGTTCATACTTACTAGTTGGTTTAAGGTTGAACAAGGCTGTGTGTTAACCCCAACATTATATAATATCTAATTAAAATTTTAAATGATTGAAGTTGTAAGTAGCGATGAAGGACTTAAAGTTGACGGTAAAGTAATGTGGTCTGTAGATGATGAGGCATTATTGTACAGTGAAGAATGACTATGACAACTAGTAAACACAGTGTGGAACAAGGCGAGACAGAGTTGATGCTGTAAAGACACAAGAAATGGTTGGTGATATTAATGGTAGACAAGAGGTGTGTGTTGGTGGAGTAATGGACAGGTGGGAACAAATATAAGAATATGTCAAGCAAAGTACATACAGAATATTCCTGAAATACTATGAATGATCAATAGTTTTATATGGGCCACAAGTGTGGACATTTTCAGCAGACACCAGAACGAGACTCATAGAAAAACAAATAAAGAAGTACAGTACTAAGATTGACTGGAACAGCTGAAAATGATATAGGATAAAGAAAATTATTATTAGTCGTCGACCCACAGCGGGGCCTGGGAGGGGGGGGGGGAAATAAGAGTAAAAAATATTAAAAATAGAAAATAAAGATTAATCTACACCACGAAGATGCCGGAAAACCAGCTTTTTGAAGTGAGACAGATTGTATGAATGTGGAAACACAGAAGAAGGCAGAGCATTCCACAGTTTGGCTGTGTGAGTGTAACAATGTCATGAGTTTCCCACCACCTGGGAGTTCCCGCCAATTTTGAGCCAACAGTATGAAGGCCCTAGGCCTGTCTTCGACCAATGAGAAAGCCCTTGTGGGCTGACACAGTTTGAAAAGCAGAGTCTGTTTTTGGAGAGAGTTAAGTGTGGACATGTAGGTGTCATCTCCTCACCTGGCGGGCCATAATGTGAGTACCTATTAGGTCTATCTGTTTCCCGAAATGTAATGTGATTCATATGACCCCTGGGTAGCTAGCTCGGAAGATAGTCGTTAATAAATGAAGAACCATTAGTTGTCAATTCCCTTGTGTTGACTAAAACATTATCATGCATGTCTTTGGTGTTATACAGTGAGCCTTAAATAATGATTATTTCAATATTTCTCCTGTGAGGTGTTGTATCTTAGTTCCCCTGACCGGCCTCCCCTTGGTGGTGTGTGAGGGGCCCCTACAGTCCTACCCCTCACACTGACCACAAACAAACACCTTCCTCGGCTCACAAGTATACGAGTACAACGAACACAGAAGAAAAGAGAATTAGATAATAAAGAAAGAGTAAAAGTAAGTAAAAGAAAGAATAAAAGAGTAAATAAATAAATAAAAAGAATTAAAAAGACAATATAAGAGTAATTTGTTACATTAAATATGTTTTTGAGGAAA